CTGTCTCAAAAATAAACATTAAAAAAATTTTTTTTAAATGATTATAGAGAGCAGGAGCAAGACCCACTGAAGAAAATTCCAGTTACTCTACATAGAAAGAATATATTAATGCTACCTCGTTTCTAAACTCTACTGGACTAATAAAATCTGAGAACAGACATCAGATCTACCACTGATAATTTAGGACTTTCTAATATGCAATACTACTCAACGTTATATTCCGGCGGCTCACTAGCAATGTTTCTTACGAACCTTGAATATTGTTACATTTATAAAACCATACAACCTTGTTGTAACACAAACTGTTCTTTTTTCTAGAAGTATGCCTATTTGACCCAAAAACTGGCAACACCAGAAAACACCATAACTCAAAAAGGCAAACAAAAAATTGTTTTATTTTTTTAAATGTATTCGTGAGTGATTTGTTATCCTTAAAGAGGATAATGAGGAAAATATTTGCACTCCAGTAGGAAAGAGAGCAAAAAATACAAATACTTCCTAGAAGGAAAAGCAGCAAAAAGAATAAAATACTTTGATATAACTTGAACAAAAGAATTGCAAACTTTCTTCTACACTGCAAGCTACAAAACATTGAAAGTTTTAAAGACCAACATAAGTTAGAAGGATACTCATGTTTATGGATTGGAAGGCTTACTATTTTTAAAATGACAGTACTCCTAAATTGATGTACAGATTCAACACGATTTCTCTCAGAATCCCAGGTGATTTTTTTTTTTTTTTTGCAGAAATTGACAAGCCAATCTTAAAATTCATGGGAAAACCCAAGGGACCCAGAATAGTTGAAGCAGCCATGAAAAAGAGGAATAAAGTTGGGAGACTCACACTTTCCAATTTCAGAACTTATTTCCAAGCTACAGTAATTGGGACAGTGTGATACCGGTAGGAGGACAGACATAAATCAGTGGAATAAAATTGAAAGACCAGAAATAAGTCTTCACCAAAAATAAACAATTGATTTTCAACAAGGGAGCCAAGATAATTATGGAGAAAAAGTAATCTTTTCAGCAAATGATGCTGGAATAACTGGATATCCACATGTGAAAGAATTAAGTCAGATCCCTCCCTCCCAACCCACCCCCACACACATACAATAATTAACTCAAAGTACAGCAAAGACCTACTTTAAGAGCTAAAGCTATAAAATATGGAGAAGACAGGAAAAATTCTTCATGACTTTGGAGTAGGCCAAGCCTTCTTACAAGGATCAGCACCAAAAGCATGAGTGACTAAAGAAAAACATGGGTGAATTGGACTTCATCAAACTTAAAAACTTTTGTGTTTCAAAACAAATCATCGAAGTGAAAAGACAGCTCACAAAATGGGAGAGAATATTTGCAAATCCTCTATCTGATAATGCACTTCCAGGATATATAAAGAACTCTTTCAGCTCTTTCAATAATAAATACGGGCAAAAGATTGGATAGACAATTCGAGAAGATATGTAAATGTCCAGTAAGCACATGAAAAGATGCTCAGCATCATTACTCACTAGGGAAATAAGTCAAAACCAAAATAAGATACACTTTCACCCCCACTCGGATGTCTAAAATCTAAAAACAACAACAAAGACAGATGATAAGCGTTGGCAAGGATGTGAAGATGTTAGAACTCTCATTGCTGGAGGGATACATAGAAGGGTGCAGCCTCTTTGGAAAACAATGTAGCACTGGCTCACGTGTTAAACATAGAGTTGCCATGCGATCAGCAATTCCACTGCTAAGTAACATACCCAAGAGCAATGAAAACGTGTATCTGCATAAAAATTTGTACATGAATGTTCATAGCAGCGTGATTCAGAATGGCCAGAAAGTGGAAACTACCAAAATGCCCATCACTTGATGAATGGGGTAAACAAAATGTGGTACAACGGAATATTATTCAACCGTCAAAATTTAGAATGAAGCACTGATACATGCTACAACATGAAGGAACCTTGAAAAAACACTGTGCTACAAAGCCAGTCACACAAAAACAAATATTGTGTGGTTCCACTTGTATGGAATGTCAAAATATGCCAATCCTTAGAGGCAGAAAGTAGATTGGTGTTGGATAGGAATGATGGGAAGGAAATAAGGAGTGAGGACCTACAAAAAAAAAAAAAAAAAAGGAGTTACAGCTAATGGCTATGGAATTTGGGGGGACTGGGGAGATGATGAGGATATCTTAAAATTAGATTTTGGTGATGTTTGCACAACTGTTAATACTAAAAGTCAGGAATTGTTCCCTTTAAAAAGGTGAATTTTATGGCATGTGAATTCTATCTCAATAAAGCTATTAAAAAAGAATAACTATTCCTTCGCTATCTAGTAATTGTACTTTTAGGAATCTGTCCTAAGGAAATGCATTCATTCATTTGTCCCTCCAATATTTATTGAGTGTCACTGTCCTAGTGGGTGTTGTTTTAGGTGCTAGCTATACAACAATGAACAAATTAAGGAGCTACGGAAGCCTCCCCACCCCCACACCTTATCATGTTTTCAGTTATGTGAGGTCATCCACGGTGAGAAGCAGATAATCCACCTCTGACCTATAGCCAGAATGACAGTAGTAGCCTGATTCAATGTCACATGCCTGCATCACTCACCTTATTTCATTCATCTCATCACGTAGGCATTTTAGCATATCACAAGAAAAAGGGTGAGTGCAGTATAAGAAGATATTTTGAGAGAGACTACATTCCCATAAATCTTGTACAGTATATTGTTACAATGGGTCTATTTTATTATTGGTTACTGTTGTTAATCTCTTACTGTGCCTAAATTGTAAATTAAACTTTATCATCATGTACAGGAGAAAACATACTATCCATCCATTCGGTGCATTCATGGTTTCAGGCACGACTAGGCAGGAGCCCACTGGGATCTTGGAACAGATCCCTCGCAGATAAGGGTGGAGGAGTGTAATCAGATACAATGATTTGAGGACTTTTTCAAAAGGATGTTCGTAATAACATTAACTTCAACAATAATAAAAAGCTGGGAACAAATGATCCACTGGCAGACAAATTACGGCATATGGTAGAATGTTATGTAACCATTTAAAATTAAGTTTTCACAGAACAGTCATTGATGTGAGAAAATGATACAATATAATGTGAAATAAGGAAAATGCCACATGAAATATCCTACCACCACTATGAAATCAATATTATTTCTGTAGGTAATGATGTTGGATTTTGATTTTAGAGCCCACTTTTCTATCCATTATTGTTTCTTTTTTTATGTTTTCCTAAATCTCCTATAATGAAATATTGTGCCATTATAATCCTAAAATCCACATTTCTGTGAACAACCAAGCAAAAGCACTGAACTGTTACAGGTGTTGCCTTCTAAATGCTTGTTATAGGTTTGTTTCCTTTGAAGTTAAGAAAACAAAGCTATGAGGGAAATCTGGTTTGCTGCTGAATGAAAGTGGGATTTTTCATATGCCGATATGAATATGGAATTGTCCAATCTCAAAGAGGAGAGAATCAACTCGTTATTAGAGGCTGTCAGTTTTTCTTTGTGGCATATTTTCTGTGTTCAAGTTGGTGGAGTTTTGCTTCTTTCATATCCACCTGTCAACAATTCTTATACACCGAGAGCTGTCGTTAGCGAGTGCTCATTATGTGCTAGGCATTTTAAAACAGTACCACATCCGGGCCTTCCGCCAGGCCTCACGGCAACTCTGAGGAAGAGGGATGTGCAACATCCCTCTTTTGCACATGAACCAGTTCCAGCACATGAAGGTCACACAGCTGGTTTATGTCAGAATCCGCAAGCTAGCACAGGTGCTATTGACCCCAGTTGTGGGTTTTTTTTTTTTTAATGTTTATTTGTTTTTGAGAGAGAGACAGAGCATGAGCGAGAGGGAGAGACCCAGAATCCAAAGCAGGCTCCAGGCTCTGAGCTGTCAGGACAGAGCCCGACGTGGGGCTCGAACCTGCCGACTGCGAAATCACAACCTGAGTGCAAGTCAGATGCTTAACTCACTGAGCCACCCAGGCGCCCCGACCCCAGTCGTGTTCTTGACTGCTGCACTGTGCCACCTTCTAGAGACCCCCCGAAGTGGAAAGTCGAAGGCCTTGCTCCAGGAGGGCTTTTCAGCCTGATGGAATCAGGTGCACACACAGAGAAAAGGAAGCAATAGGATAGTCTGGAATGTGGAAAATTCGGAAATAACAGAACACCAGAAGATTCTGTACATAGTAACTGTAAGAGAATTTAGAAGGAAATTGCGGACTGCATTTGCCCATTTCCAGAATATGTTTATGCCATTGTCTGCTTCCTGTACTTCATATTATCTGTTTGTTTCCTCTTTAACTAATGTTACAAGGTTTAAAATGCAGTATATCATGGGGCGCCTGGGTGGTTCAGTCGGTTAAGCGTCCGACTTCAGCTCAGGTCACGATCTCACGGTCCGTGAGTTCGAGCCCCGCGTCGGGCTCTGGGCTGACGGCTTGGAGCCTGGAGCCTGCTTCTGATTCTGTGTCTCCCTCTCTCTCTGCCCCTCCCGTTTATGCTCTGTCTCAAAAATAAATAAACGTTAAAAAAATTAAAAAAATAAATAAGGGGCGCCTGGGTGGCGCAGTCGGTTAAGCGTCCGACTTCAGCCAGGTCACGATCTCGTGGTCCGTGGGTTCGAGCCCCGCGTCAGGCTCTGGGCTGATGGCTCAGAGCCTGGAGCCTGTTTCCAATTCTGTGTCTCCCTCTCTCTCTGCCCCTCCCCCGTTCATGCTCTGTCTCTCTCTGTCCCAAAAATAAATAAAAAACGTTGAAAAAAAAATTAAATAAATAAATAAATAAATAAAATGCAGTATATTAAAAGGTAAATAAGCAGTATGTGTATGATTTTGGATTTTAGATGGAATTGCTTGAAGCTAGGTGTGCTTTCTGCTTTATTTGTAACTTGAAATGTATCCAGCCGGCTAGTTGCCCACGTGCCAGCATGTGGTAGGCTTCTGATAAAGTCTTTAACCACCTAATCTTTGCTTGTTGCAGGCGACATGGCTGTATGGCATACAAATGACAGGCTTGCTCTTGGTGTGCATTCTTCAGTTTTTTAATTCTATGATTCTTGGATCATTGCTGATCAGTTTTAATCTTTCAGTATTAATTGCAAGAAAACTTCAGGTAGGACATTATTTTTGTCCTTTAAGCAAACTCTTTTTTAAATTGTGTGGTTGCTTGGGCCTTATTTTTATACAGCACACAAAGGAAAATTTATGACCAGATTCCCACTGAAAAGCACCGGACCCATTATTTAGGGGTTTTTTGTTTTGTTTTGGGTTTTGGTTTTGTTTGTTTGTTTGTTTGTTTTTATGTGCACGGTGTAGCATCTCTGTTTTCAAGCTTTCTGATGTGCCACCCCTTGTTTTGACATTTACTTTTGTCTTAGAGAATTGGAATCTCAGTTCAGGGTTTAGCTAGAGATGCTTATTTGAATGCATGCCATTGATTTAAACCTGAAACGAAGAAGAAAAACTTTTTTACTTCTGGTGTGTGTGAATTCAAGAGTAAGAAGAACCTGTTGCTTGGGGACATATGTTCATCCCAGTGTCTTTCGAGTTGCTGGATACCTTATTATTGGCGACACAGTAGCACTGCTCCCTACCGCAGCGTTCCGTATCGTGGTATTGATTTTTAAGTGAATTTAGATCAACTCTGAGAATTTTGAGAATCCAGATACATACATTCAGAAATAAGGGGACATTCCTAGAGTGTCACATTTGAAAACACTGACCTGATATTTTGGTTTTATTAAAGAATTCAAATCTCTTAAAGTTACATGAGATTTAATTTGTTTTTCTTCACATAATGTCACAAGGCCTGTTTGCTTTTTCATAAGCATATGAGAAACATTTCTCATAAGTACTTTTATATCAAGAAGCTGTTTTACCTTCTGCTTTAGGAAGAAAATATCCTGTCATGGACAAGCTGTCACAAAGATTTTTTTAAAAAAGGCCTCAGTTGATGATCTAAAACAATAGTTCTCATTCATCCTTCTAACTTTAGTTATAAATAAACATCATGCCTATTTAATTCTTCAAAATTATTAGATATTATTATATTTGATGATCTGTAAAGTTAATCTGACAGTTATAAGAAGACTATTATAAAGAGAACAATTCATCTTTTATTATACTGGTAGGTCTTTAATTTGCTGTGTCATCTGTGATACATGAATTAATGGTTAAATGACCACAAGATTTGTTCAGTCAGTGTATCCTGAGTACCTCCTGGCAGACTCCATACTCTAGTTGCAAAGGTCTAAAAAAAACGACTAGGACAGTTTTCTGACATTATGAAGCTTATTAAGGGATTCATTTATATTTATATTAGACGTTTACACACATTAAGACAGTATATAACCTCGTGAAAAGTAGGTGATATTTTCCACATATTTTCCCAGTATGTTGCATGATCTCATGTTTTAAATCCTTAAGTAATCTCATCTTAAATGTCTCTGAAGTAATTTAAGAATTAAGACTCAGCTGTTTTCATTTCTAGAAAAATCTGAAAACTGGAAGCTTCCTTAATAGGCTGGGGAAACTATTATTACATTTATTTGCAGTTTTATGCTTGACACTTTTTCTCAACAACATTATTAAGGTAGGTTAATAAAATGACATTTAATTTATGAATTAAAGTTACCTAAAGAATGACCAGTTCTCCTTTTAACAAGCTCAGTTTTCACTTTGTTTCTGAAACAGTTATTCTCTATCTCAGTCATTGATTTCTGCTCATTTTTTAAATATGTTCTAACCTGAACTCCCTTTTTGAGTTACTACACTTTTTAAAAGCTCAACTTTAAAGGCATTAAACAAGTGTCTCTCTAATTTTAAAAAATTCTACTTTTTAGAGAGCGTTTTCTTGCACTGTGGTACAAAGAAAAAGATGACATGGTTTTCACTGGGTTAAGTTGATAGATGAACAGGCAGGGCGCCTGGCTGTCTCAGCTGGTGAAGCGTGCAACTCTTGGTCTCGGGGTCATCAGTTCGAGCCCCACGGTAGGTATAGAAGATTACTTAAAACAAAAGAAAAGAAGAGAGAGAAACTAGCTTTACTGTTGGAACCGCAGTGATTTATTGAAACGATTTTGCCCCTCCTGGCAGGCTGGTTTCAGGGCAGGAGACATCCGCATGTACGTTGGCAGTCCCTCTTCCTGTCTGTTGACTCTCAGAGACTCTCACTCATCCGGCCACATTAAACAGTTCCACTCCAGGTCCTTTGTCGCTAGTTCTTAAACCCCACACAGTTCAGTACTTATCAGAAGCTTACTTGAGCTGAGCAATCAGCGTTTCCGAAAGATTGGCTGAAAGATACGCGGTTCACCCATTCCCCCACTCTAGACATTTAGTCATCCGTGCCTGAGTGAAGCCAGTAGAGCGCTGCATGCCTGGACCATTGATTCTTGACTTCCCAGAGAATACCATCTATTGAGTCATACTTGATGTCTTGCCAGCTACATACAATGAGAGGAATTAGAAAAAATTCGTCTTTGAGACTCCTGCTGTTTTTTCCGTACCCATGGGGAAAATTTCTCTTGAGTCTCAGTCTTAGGAGTGTTAGGATCTGTTTTGAGCAACTAGTTTGTTTTAATCTTATGACCTATGCTTTTATCTCCCTCTGCATTTGCTAGTAGAATGTGTAAGCCCAGATTTGCAGCTCATCTCTAGCAAACGTATTTTATGTACTAACCTCACTTCTGGATTCATCTTACTTTCTTTTCTATCTTCATTTTCCTTTTGATAGAATTTCTTGACCGATTTATGTTATATGGATTTTTGTAAAGCGTATGTTAAAAATAAAATGATGTGAATTAAAATCCTAATCACTAATGATATGCGCTGGCATTTGTTCACTCTGGGGGCCACCACTGAGCCTTCAGTTGTCATTGTGTGAATGAGTCTTCTATCAATTGTGTCTCCAGACAGAGACCCCAAAGCCAGAGAGGCCCTGTGGGCTCTATACCTGTTTGAGGTCTCAGATCATCAAATTATTGGTTTTCTGATTAAAAAAAAAATTGTACTCACCTGGCTTCAGCCATCTCCTTCCTGAGACCAAAGAAGCTCATCTTTTATCTATTTTACGTGTTGAACTTCTTTATAAGGTTGAAAAAAGTGATTCTGCTTATAAAAAGGGGGGGCGGGATGAAGGAGTGTAAAAGTCACTGTGTTAGAATTCCTCATTTCTGACAACTATTGAGAACATTTGCTATAAACACACACGCACACACGCACACACGCAGTCCTGTGAAACTGGACACCAGATGTATGTATTCATTGGGAAATTACCAGGAAATCATGCATAAGGCGCTAATAGTAATTTTCATTTTCTCCCTCCCTGATAGAAAATTCTTAATCTGAAGTCAGACGAACACATATTTAAATTTCTGAAGGCAAAATTTGGGTTTGGAGCAACAAGGTATGGCTGAATTTAAAATTTATGTTTGCTTTTTTATATTAAATCAGCAGGGACTTTCAAACTTCATAGTGCCTTGAACTATTAATTCCAGGCTCATTTTGAGGAAAAATGTGTGGTTTACTGATCTTGTTTTGAATTTAATATTTTGCCTTTTCATTTGTTCCCTAGAGATTTTGATGCAAATCTGTATCTGTGTGAAGAAGCATTTGGCCTCTTACCTTTTAATACATTTGGAAGGCTCTCAGATACTCTACTTTTTTACGCTTACATATTTGTTCTGTCCATCACAGTGATGGCAGCGTTAGCAGTCGCCTTCCATAATCTCAGGTATGGCGTGTTTCTGAAGCCTATGCTGTGCTTTAACGAACTTGCTCTCTGTTGCCAAAAAAGTGCTCAGTTGAAAATCAATCTATCAGACACAGATGCGGTATTGTGCAGCTGAAAGGGGGGACGTAGCCAGTTTAGATTGGACTCCACTCAGTCATTAACGATGGACCAGCTAAGAGATAGCAAAAAGCAGGCAACACCGAATAGGCTGTCCCCTTTGAGCCCTTCCCGTATGCCCCTTTCTATAGACACAGGATACTCAGAGGACTTACTCTACAGGGTTTGTGGGAAGTTAAAATGACATACAGTGCTTAGAATGGTGCCTCACGCCTGGAACATTCTGTACATTTTATATGTCATTAGCTCGTTTTACTATTAGTGACTCATAGTCTCTCTTTGGTTCTCATTGTTAGTTTTCCTGTTGTTTTTCTGCCTTTCTTTGTCTAGCTGCCTTTTTTATTTCTCATGAAGCATCAAGAGTTAACTGTTGTTTTGTTGCATGTTGTTAAAGGGCTTGTAAAGTTGGAGTCCACCAAAGTCTTCAGCAATAATTGGCTGTTTCTAAAAACTTAACATGTCTACTAATCTGCTAAAAGAAAGAGCCAGGGAGTATAAAGACTTTTTAAAAACGTGTGGAATACCTACCTACAAGGCTGATGGAGGGCTTCTGCATTTACTGTCCGTGTTAAATTGAAAGAAAATTAAGTGTAAGAAATTGAAGCTGCTGTCATTTGTGAAAACTTAATGAAGCTCAGAAGGAAGCCCTTTTTCTCCATAGTTATCTTGCCAATTAAGGTGCTGGTGGGCTGTGATTCGCAGCCACCGGAGAGCTGTGCTGGAGAAGGGCATTAAAATGAGTCCAGATCAGTTGAGATGTTTTATGATTATTAAGAGAGTGAAGCAACATTGAACCATGAAAATACTTCATTGACTATAAACTATTTTAGTATCTTTCAGAAGTGTTCTTAGCCTGATCTCTAGCCCAAGATAAAATCCAGCCCTGTGAAAATAGATGGAAATTATTCTAGACAGTGTAATTTAATATTATTCCAGACACGCCAAGTGTCGGCAGGACTCTAGACTGCATGCAAAGCAGGAAGTTGAGTTGGCCTGCAGTATTTTGTGAAAATGTCTGCCATGCTCAGTGTGAATCTGGGAGCCGTCTCTGCAGGCTGACTTAGTGTATGATTGTGGGTGAGGTTTTAGAACATCCTCATCTACCACGTAGGGGTATTAGAACCTTATTAGAGGAAAAGTACTACATTAATTAAAGTAATTTAAGAATAATGGTATCTTAAGATGAACTTCTAAGTAATTTGAAGGATATTTTATCAATGCCAAGTATTTAAAATATTTCCACCGTCTTAATACTAGGAAGGATGATACTGTTCTGTTCACGCAACACATCTGTGTTGGTGTAAAGGCTACGACTGAAAAGGAATTAACTCATGGGCTCTGTATTCATGGGATTAATATGAGCTCTCCAGCTTAGCCAGGGAGATGGGGAGAGGTGTTGCAGAATTCTCTCAGGTATCAGGGGGAAATGAGAACATATGTTCTTGTCTGGAGCAACCTTTTAGTAGCAACATAGAAGCCAGGGTTTGGGTTGTAATGTATGACACCTAAGTAAAGATTACTACCAGTGGTGAAAATTACCTTCGAATACCAGTTTAATTTTCATATGTATCTAGGGTGGTTGAAAGGATTTCTAGGGAAGAATAGTTTTCTAGTTACATGGAAGCCTCCTACGTATCCAGGTGTGTTGGATTTTATGAAGGCTAAGTGGGGCCTTTACAAGGCATTGCTTTTATCTGAAACTGATGGCACTTCCTGTTGTTTCCTTATGCCCTTGACAACACACTGGACGACATCCGAACCCACTCGTCCATCTCAGCATCTCTAAAGTGGGGACCACCAGAGATGACAGTATGTGCCTCCCCGGTATGATCCAGTTAGAGTACAGGAGGTCCCCCATGGAGTATTCTTGCCAAAATAAATGAACCTGACTCTAATAATTAACCTCTAGATCTAATTATAAGTTTATAAGCAGGGTGGGCATAGAGAAACGTATTAAACACCACCACAAGGAGAAAATCAGCCAAATCCAGAAGGTGGAAGTAGTTACAGGACAAGTGACGTTTCTTTCAGCCAATAAACAGCTTCAAAGCAGAGGATACTTGTTTTGACTGAGAGATAACTTAAAGAGACGTTGATGAAATGCAGTGTGAAAGCTTCGGGTCCTAATTCAAAGAAACCACCTGAAAAAAGCAATGGCGGCACATGAGAAATAGAATACAAAGTGGGTGTTACGTGATAAGGAATTATTGTTAATATTATGGGTGTAATTACTTTAACATAGCCATATTTGATTTAAAAAAATCACATCAGACATCTGTAATGAGGCATTGATAGGTTAAAATGTGATCATTTGTTCATAAAGGAACTGAATTCCAAGTTTATGGACACATTTTTATTTTTTCTTATTTATGAAAACTTGCAAAATACTAGCAACTCATGAAATATCTTTAAAGATATCTTTATCTTTTTGACTCCAGAAGACTATTATTTCTATTTTCTTATAAAGTGTTGAAGTACTCTAAATTTTTACTTACAATGAAATTTGTTAAATTTTAGTTAGTGATGCATTTTAGCACTTTTAGCTTCACAAATTCAAAATTGATCAATGCTGACTCATTTTGTCTTAGAACAATAATACATTTCTAAATATATGAAGGGATGAGTTTCTAAATACATTTGTATATATATGAAGGCGTAAATCTTTTAAAAAGATTCACCTAACTTACAGTTATGTATCCAGTTTCAGTTTTGTATGTGTGCTGTTTTATTCAGTGATTCTGCAAATCAACAATCCATGGGTCAAATGGGAAAGTGCACGATCATCCTGAAACCAGAAACTGCCTACAACTTAATACATACCATTCTGTTTGGATTCTTAGCATTGAGTACGATGAGGTATTTTGTCTTATCTGTTTGCTTGATTAATGTTTTTATCTGACCATTCTTTACCTGACATATTTTAGCAATGTAACTTGGAAACTGACGGGCATCTTCATTGATAATTATGGTTGCCATAAAATTTTTCTTGTTTGCTACCTTTTCCAGTACAAAATATTATTAATAACCACTTTTTTCCTAATTACCCAGATTTGTCTATTTTTACCTATATGATGGTTCTCAAAAGGCAGTGAAAGTCGTAACTGATCCTTTGGCAGACGGTTCCTGCACAGCCTCAGTTAGATTTTCCTGTCCCAGACGGTACAACTGTCTCACACCGCGGGTCTCTCCACGGCTGGCTGGCACTTGCTGACCTTTGCCTGTTTCTTTTCCTACAGAATGAAGTACCTCTGGACGTCACACATGTGTGTGTTTGCATCGTTTGGCTTATGCAGCCCTGAAATATGGGAGTTACTCCTGAAGTTGATCCATCTTTATAACCCAAAGAGGGTCAGTGCTATTATCCCTTTTAGTTTGATGACTTGCAGGATTTCTTTCCTACCAATGATTGTTGTTTTCGGTAGTTGCCCCTACATCGGTCCAATGAAACAGATACTAAAATTTGAGGCAGAAAATAGATCACTGGCACCTTATGGTTTTCTCCCGTCTAAGTACTAACCAGGCCCAACCCTGCTTAGCTTCCAAGATCAGACGAGATCGGGCGCATTCAGGCTGGCGTGGCCGTAGACCTTAGGATTTTCTCTAAGGAGTTATTTCTAAAATAATTTTATTCTTAATTTTATTTTTTAAATTATTTTTTTCCCAAACCATTGGCTAGATTTGCTTATTATACTGAATTTGGAAATACTGTAAAGCACACAAGGAAAAATTACAAATCCTCAAGAACTCCATTATCCAGTTATCACTATTATTATAATAAATTATCCTTAAAACAAATATTAATAACGGGGGATAGGAAAACAAAAATATGAGTAAGCATATGGTTATGGTTAATAGCCTATAACTGCAGTTTTGAATTGTTCTCCCGTGTGAACTCACAAGGTGGCAATAGAGTAGAAGCTACAAGTATCTCATGAGTGATTGGGACCCTTACGTTGACCCAGTTGTCTGGCATATTGGAGACTCATGCTCCGTGAAATCACATTTTTGTTGCTTTAAAAAGAATGGGTCCTATGTTTACAAAACAAAACTGTAAGGCCAAAGTGTTCAAAATACCTGTGATCTAAATAATGTCTTTCTTATATAGATATGTATAATGCGATATTCAGTACCGATATTAATACTGCTGTATCTGTGCTATAAGGTAAGACTGATTTTCCTCATTGTTGCCATTGATCAGTTTAGCAGAATAATTGCTTTGACTCTGTACTCTGTATGTTACTGGCAAATAGAATGGTTTGTGGAGGTTACAGACCTCTCCTTGGCTTCTTATGAAGCCACCTGGCATTGATAGGAAAACCCATCTATTTCCCAAATAGTATTTAACAAGTAAAAACATTGTAGCAAAAACGACTACAGGTTAATTTTTCTGATTAACTTTGGTTTTGACTTACTATTCCGCTGATGCAAATTCCGAAAGATGTTTTCAGACCTATGTTGAGGTAAATTAAGAAGAAAAATAATTCCCTGTTACCTGCTTTAGAGAGAGTAAGAGATCCTAAAATGCATCTTACTTTAACCTACATATTTTATTAGATGCTTAAAATCACTTTGTAAGAGGCTGGGCATATGTAAGTAAGTACAGTCCCAGGCTAGCCTCGTTATCTGTCCTTCAGTTTCAATAGGAAATAAGGAAATTCCTCATATTCTCAGTTGACTAACTCCTGAAATAGCTTTAACTGTGCTTCAGTTCTGAGAATCCTTCGTAAGAGACAGGGAGTCGCCAGTCAGACGGACGATTTGGTGACTCTTGACACATCTTTGAGATTTAGAGGCTTGAATCAGTACCCGGGCAGGGAGCCCAGACTACGCCATCCAACTGAGCTTTTACCCTCTCTTTTTAAACAATCTTACACATATTCTTAAGTTTAGAATTTTTCCTTCAAATTTGGTTTTATGTCAGAACGAAGAGTAGATCTCATCCTCTACTGTGTATCGCCCCTCATTTGGGAGGGAGTCTCAAGGGAGGAGGGGGCTCAGCCACGGGGAGGATTAGCGATTGCAGCTCAGCTTTGGGTTTGGCTTATCCTTTCATGTAAGATTTTACTCAAAGCCAGAGGTTTTAGGCTAAAAATAATATGTGATAATCACACTCTTGGATGATTCTGCTGTAAATATTTTAAAAAATCATGCTCTATCATGTTCCTATCCATCAAGACATTTATTGTCATAGGCAGAGCACTGTGCTAACTCAGATATTAGAAAACCTAGAAATAGGTTATTTCTACCACCCTGCCCCTGGGAATTTTCTTGCTCTGATGTAAATAAATGAAACTTCTTTAAAACATCTGGAAAGCAAAAACGGAAGATTAAGTAGAATTTACGTTTAATAAGGAATGAGGTAACTTCCCCTCTGCACGTTGGTTCTGGGTGATAAACCCCCTCCTCCCAGAGAAGACAGAGCTCACCACGTTTCTGGTCTCACGCTAAAGATGTATGCACACGGTAGCAGCCTTTTTTCCACAGCCTCTCTGTGTGTAGGCTGAGTTCTTCCATGTCTCAGCTGTGTATTTGGAATTGTGTTCATTTTTTACAGCTATTTGAGGACTTCAGTCTCTTGTTCTTGGCAAAACTGAGGAAGGGCATTCTAGAAGAAATAAACTACGCTATATGGCATTGGGTCTCAAAGTGTGGTCCCCAGACAAGCAACATCAGCATCACCTGGGAACTTGTTAGAAATACAGATGTTTGGGTCCCACTCCAGACCAGACCTACCGAATCAGAACCTCTGGAGTGGAGTCCAGAAATGTGTTTCCCCGGCCCTCCAGGTGGCACTTACGCACAGAACAGGGCTTCCCTGCACTATTGACATTTTGGCTAGGTAATTCCTTGTCATAGGGGGCTGTCCTGTGTGTTGTAGGATGTTTAGCAACATCCCTAATTTCGACCCCCTAGATGCCAATAGCACTTCTCTCCTGTTGGGACAATCAAAAACCTCCAGACATTGCAAAACATCCCTCTGGGGGTGGGGCAAAATCCCTCTCCCCACCTCTCTTGAAAACCATTACTATAGAAAAACCAGTGAGAGCACCAAAAAAGCCATCATTTCCAGGAAGTCTATGTTGATATTCTTTGAGTGAGAGAGTTAGTAACTCGGAAGAATCCTTCCGAAGACTTGCCTAGAATCAGCGTAGCCCTTCTCAGTATCCGACTTCAGGAGAAATCTTCATGCGTCCAGCTTCCACGGTACAAAACCGTTGAGATATTCCAACCTCTCCACATTTAAAATCACAAAGAAAATAAAGGTGTTATGTATATTAAGAATTACCCCGAAACTGAATCTGTTTTCCAACTATTGAACAGATTTACTGATAAGTAAAATGAACTCCTCTACTTCAAAGCCTCATTTGAGTTTCACAGAACAATTGTAATGAGGATTTCAGATTTTCTTGTCCATAGTAGCAATTTTGCTATATGTCTCTTTAGGACAATCCTATTTAAAAGGGAAAAGCATGCACTTCACTCTAAAATCAGGAGTTATTATTACGCTCACATTGATTAATTTATTTGCATCGCTGCATTCTCACAGTATTGCTAGTCATTTAGAAACCGCATTTAGTTAATTCGACACTTTCACACTGTTTAAGAAGTCTGCCACAAGACAGTGTTACTAGATTTTAACATTTTCAGAATTAACAACAGCAACTTTCAAGCTAGAAAAATATCTACTATCCATTGAATTGATAGATTTTAAAATGTTTTATACCCACATAATTTGGACCTATCATTAAAAAGTTGGTATTCTATTGATTATCCAAATTAATAGGGATAATTGAAATATTACAAAGGTATCATTGAATCACTATGATTACATCTCTTCTAAAACTTTGAGACAGTAGTGCTGTCTTGGTTTTCCATCACCAACAGTTTTCCAGATTCACCCACCCAGAACACTAGATGAGAATGAGCAGTAAAAATGGCCAAAGATGAGATGGTAAGAAAGTGACAGGGCTGAAAACACAGCCTCCAAGCAGTCAGGTTTCACTCGGGTTCTAGTTAGTGGTTCCTAAATAAAATTCCTGTATTTTCAAAATTAATGAAGCACGGGCACTTTGTCATTGGCCTTCTTCCAACATGGGAGTTCTGCTGTTCACCTCAGGACGTATGTAGATTATCGAGGCTTCTTAGCCGATTATCATTCGATACAGCAGTGAACATTTAATTAATTGTTGGATTAAATAGGGAATTGTGGTAGAAAAGCAGTAAGCTCAGAGTGTGATGTTCGCACTCTGCTTCCCCTTCACCACCTTGAGTTGAGTAGGAGGCACCAGTGGCATAAAATGTTCCTGATTTCTTGGAGAGTCCTACTTTCAAATATTCTTCTCTCCCATTGTACCTGTAATTATATTAAAATATGCCAGGCTATCCTGGATTTGGATTTGGAGTCAGGTTTCAGGCCATAGCTCTGCCAGTCCGTGGGCTGGTCAAGTCAGGCTACCTCTCCAGCCAGCGTCTCCACACCAACAAAATGAACCGTGAACAGCAGTAGGGATGGTGCCCTCTTGCGTCCACTTCCTCCCTAGGTAACTGTGGGGATGAGAGGAGATTCTGTCCCAGAGCGTTTCTGCAGCTCTAACGTCTTGTAAGGGCACATTCCGCATCGAAGGGTAGATTGCATGATGGAAGATCTGTTTTTCTAACATACCGGGAACCTTCTCGCGGTTGCCATTTCCTGTCCTATCGAAATGAATGTTTCACTAGATACTAACACCACATACAACAGGTTTTTTATTAGAGTAAAGTAAAAGCTCATTGTAAAAAGTTGCCAACCTCTCTAGCCCTGATTAGCTTTGGCTCAGAATAACTCAGGGAACCTTTTACGGACTTTGGCTGGCTTCTGCTAGGAGGGTCCACTGCCGCGGTGAAGTCGTTCAGATGCTGCGGTTGCGTGTTTATTTAGTTCACAGGCTATATGCCGTTTGTCCCCTTTCGTTTTAATCTTAGTGACAGTTGTGGGTGTGGGGGTGGATTTTGTTTTTGTTTTGTTTTGTTTTTAATTTCAGTTCTGGCCAGGAATGATGGATGAACTCTCCGAGTTGAGAGAATTCTATGATCCAGATACAGTGGAGCTGATGAACTGGATTAAGTAAGAGGATTTTTTTTAACCTTTAAAATTTAAAGTGCCTTTTAAGTGTCACCATAGACCTCATTTGGTGTTTTCTTTTTTTCTGAAATCTAACTGAAGATACATTCATTTCCAAGTTTTTCTTTAAAGCTCTATATTTGGAAACAATTTCTCCCCATTCAAGAAATATTCTCTCTAACCACAAACTCCGGAAGAAGGGAAAATACCTGTAAGGAGAGGAAGTCAGAGCTGGAGGATGCTCCCCAGGCCACTGGCAGCAGTGGAAAGGAAGCTTCGTAGTCTAGGCCAATTTTACCTTTAGCGTGTCTTCCATTTTGGTACCATTCAGATTTTCTGTTACTGCTGACACATGAAAGTATTCTTTCCTTGTTAATCATTGAAAAGTTATACCGTAAACGACGGAGTCCTACTAGCTGCGTGCACATTTGATTTCAACGAAGCACACTGCCCGAGCCCAGGCCTAAAGAAAACTAAAAATCCAGACTCTTTCTGTCTTGAACATCGTCCCGTTTAGCATCCTCTCGGTGCCTACCGTTGCCTGCGTTCTGTTGCTTTGCCTCAGCACTCAGTGTCAGCGTGAAAGTCATGTGTTCGAAAGCTTTGTTAATGGAACCTGCCTCCCACCGGAAATAAACTTTGTTACCCAGAGCAGCATTCCTGTGCCCTGTAGTACTGCATTTCCCTACTTTGTAACCAAAAAGCAGCAGTGTGATTATTCACATGTAAATAGACGTCGCAAATCTTGTGTGACATATTCTGAAGGCATCGGTGGTATCGTCTCCATCACTTAGGGTTTTAGTAGCCATATTGGCACTTGCTCATGACTAATGTTTACTAACCAGTACGGTTTAGCACTGCTTGTGTATTAAGAGATGGTAAACGTTTGATAGCTTCGGTCTCTTGAGTGCAATACATGGATTTTATAGAGATTTATGTCTAAAATATATATGTGGCTTTGGTCCCAATGTCGGACTGGCTTTGACTAGATGCAGTGAGTATAATTTTTCATGTACTTCCAGTGCTGAGATTACTAAGCAGTGCTTTGTCTTTATTTATTTATTTAACTTTAAATCATGGCAGACGATTATAGAGTAAATAATTCCTTCCGTATTTATTGTGTATGGGAAAAGAGGGTTATTCGTGTAAAGAAAAGCTAATTACTTTTGCATTAACTATAGTCACCCGGAAATTTATGGCACGTACCTGTGAAGGTGAGGCTGGTGGTGTTCTGGTTTCAAAGTCACACTATTGATCGGAAGAGCGCAGGGCGCCCCCTCCTGGTAGAGCCCTGAAGCTGGCGGGCCTGCCTTGGTCATTCCTGTGAGCAGCCCACCTCCGCTCCCCGGTCCCTGGGGAATGAATGGAGCCTCAGTAAGAACGTGTCCTGGCGGAGGCCAGGCGGTCCATGGCAGTGTCAGGCTACTGCGCTTACTACAGTGCCTGTGTCTCCGTGCTTGTCCTCAGGCAAGATTACTTACAGTGACATTCCTGGTTCTGAGAGATGGCAGATGAGAGGTTATATTCCGAGTGCAAAGAAGACAGTCTGTTAGTCTGTTACTTCTCTCCTTTGCGAAAGCGATCTTTGTTCCTTACTTTATCATCCTCTTACTAACATGGTCCTCTCCCTGTATGGAAACACGTTCTTTCTACTTTTTAAAAAATCCTCAGCAACTGGAAAGCTTTGTATTGTTCCAAAATATTGGCCCCATTGTGATCTAATCTTGCTCGTTTTCCCTTAAAATTCTTCAAATCTTAATTATTGTTTTTGTAAAAATAGCTGCTGGGCATGTTTGTGAAATAAGCTTAAGTGATGATGAATATATGCCAAAATTGGGTCTAGTTAGACGCAAAATGTATTTGTTTAAATCAACATTGAAATCAGCTCTGGTCTGTAGCCTTCGGTTCCAAACACAAGGGAAAACACACTTCATATTCTTTGAACTCGCCTTGATTTCTTCTGTTTCTGAAACGTAACATATGACCTTCCGCTTCCATTTTACTACTCTGATGAGTCACCTGTGCCCGGGATACTAGCAGGTCTGAGCTGTGCTGGAAGCAGGCTGTGGCCGAAGGATGGCATGGACTGTACCTGGGAGTCGGTCTGAAGTTGTCTGAGGGCAGCCGGCAGAGCTCTGGCGGGGACTCGGCCCCCTTCTTCCCACGTCGTCTGCTGCTGTTCTCGGACAGCCGGCACAGTGGTGCCATGTCTGTCTTTCGTCAGGGAGGTCATGGCAGCGTGTACGGGGCGGGATGTAGCTTCCGTCACAGGACGGCTGCGGGACGAGTCAGGATGAGAAGCCGTGACCTACAGGAACCCTCGGGGACACCTCAAGTGACCCTCTGTGATGGCACAGGGCCCCTCCTCTGTGACGTGTTGAGAAGAAGCCTACCCAGCACGTCCCGGTCTCTGTTCTGTATACTTGATGCTGGGGCAAACCACACGCCTGCCTTACGCATCACCGTTGTGCTCTGGGACACTGGGCCTCTGTTTGGAGATCAGGGCTGGCCGAGTATTCACTTGGGCTTCTCGGGCTTGGAGGATGAATCGAAGGATTCCATCACCTCAGCAGGAGTTAGTTATTTCCTCCTCTTCTGGAGGGCTCGGTTATGACCCTTTATTGGCCAACCAGACAGCCTCTGGGGAAGATAAAGGGCATGGCTTTAGGACACCACATATTAATAGGAGAGGGGCCGTTCTGAAGGGATTCGGTTTCTGAGAGACTGTTTAACACCTTAATGCGTAAAGTTATATCTGAACTTGTACTTACTGATAGGATTTAACAGATACTTATTGAGCACCAACGACACATAGGACATCACGTGGCCGCCCACTCTCACCACCTCTCCGCTAGAGTTGAGTCTCTTCTCAGCACTGCTGTCTTCACGCCTTTTTTCCATATTCTTACTGTTGACTCCAGTTTTAAGGTTTTTAGAGCCTTATCAGGTTTCAACTGAAAACTTTTTTAGTAATAGAAATGTCCTATCTTTAGTTCCTTCGAGATTTCAATGTAAGTAGAAAACTAATAGAACTTTGAGAGTCGATCCCTCGTTAATCAGCAAGGACATTGTGTTGAAATCAGCCCCAGAATCTTCCCTGGGAGAACCAGGAGGCCGCTTACCCCGATCCTTCCTCGGGGCTGGCCTGTGTGCTCCTCTGGCCGCCTGCCCTCCACACGGCGCTCACTGCCGCATGCTCGCTTCCCAGCAGATTGAGGGTCTCCCAAACGCAGAGATTAAAAACACGATCGATCGATTGATTGATTGATTGATTTTAGTTTCTGGCAGCTCTTTCAGCAAGACCCAGGTGGTACTTGCTGTGCTGTGTGTGTGACTAGGAAGCACTTTTACTTCCACGAGGCCAAACGCCACGGCAGTGGTGCTTCAGACCTCGTTCCTTTGTGACCCGTAAGTGTTTCATTCTTGTTCCTGAAATTCTTCTTTGACGTTGTGCAATGAAGACACTCCCGCAGATTTGAATATTCTGAGATGTGACATTTTAACCACGGGGCTTTAGAAGATTTTTCACTAACGGTAGTCCCTTTTCAGTGATGAAGCCTGCATGTGCAATATATTCTCAATGGGACTGAGAAAATGGACCACACTTCCTTAGCATTTTATCAAAGCAGAAAGAATTACTGTGTATCTTAAGTATGATGAAGGTTAAGTTGAGACCTTAAATGCCTATAAGCCTCTTTTATATTTAATGAATCATTTTGTGGTATTTGCATAATTCTATAAATTTTTGAGGGGTAGATAAAGCAAATGTTCGCACATTATATTATAATGCTCAGTTTACCCATTAGTTCAACAGTAATTAACTTGTTGAAGCTTAGAGCTTCAAAAGTAAATGAGATTATTTGTTCAAAATGCCATCAGGTCTTCCTGGAATGACATTTAAATTATGTAATGTAAATCCGTTTGACCTGTGAGTCCTTGTCATTATTTAGTGACATTTCTTGCAGAATAAATTGTTTGCAGGTTGGGCAGCCTGCTATAGAGCTTGGCAGAGGGCTATAAAAACAAATTATCCTTTCATTTTATACATCATTTGTTCAAACATTGGTAAAAATTGCTTTGTTTTTCTATAATAGAGAAGTGTCATTCAATGGTTAAAAGCACATTAGCTGTTTTAGACACAGACCACAGACTGTGTCAGCAGAAGTATCTGTGAAGGCACAATACTCAGCATTACACCTGTCATACTGCATATTTTAAGTTAAGGACAAAAAAATGCCTTTTCCCTTTGCCTGCTGAGTTCACCACAGAAAATATAAACCATAGCGAAGCTAGCTAGGTTTTTAAAGTTCAGAAAACGTGTGATTGTTTTTCCTTTTGTTTCACTTTGCTTGTTTGTTTTGCTTTGCATTGGCTTTATGGGTAAACTTGAATCTTTAAAATGTGAAATATCCCAGGTTTGCAATGGGGCTAGCTTATGAAACCAAGTCACTAGAAGAAAGCGAATAAACATCGTCTCTGCTATGCTCAGAAGTTCCTGGTTTTCAAGGAAGTATTACTTCTAGTTCATTTTATAGGCGTTGGGGTACTTGTATTTACTGCTTTAAAGTAAAACCAAGGGGGTGCCTGGGTGGCTCAGTCGGTTGAGCGTCCGACTTTGGTTCAGGTCGTGATCTTGCAGTTTGTGAGTTCGAGCCCCGCGTCGGGGTCTGTGCTGACGGCTCAGAGCCTAGAGCTTGCTTCAGATTCTGTCTCCCCTTCTCTTTGCCCCTCCCATGCTCATGCTCTGTCTCTCTCTGTTTCTCAATAATAAACAAATTTTTAAAGTTTTAAAAAAAATAAATAAAGTAAAACCAAGGAAAGACTGCTAACAGGCCACAGGATTGTTGTGCGAGCGGCTGAGACAGATTGCTTTACTTTTACACTTTCTGACTCTTTGCTAATGAGGCCAAACATTAAAACACATCACAGAAGGGGCGCCTGGGTGGCTCGGTCAGTTAAGCGTCCGACTTCAGCTCAGGTCATGATCTCGCGGTTCGTGAGTTCGAGCCCCGCGTCGGGCTCTGTGCTGACAGCTCGGAGCCTGGAGCCTGTTTCCGATTCTGTGTCTCCCTCTCTCTCCAACCCTCCCCCGTTCATGCTCTGTCTCTCTCTGTCTCAAAAATAAACGTTTAAAAACACACACACACACATCACAGAAGAATGTGGTTTAGTTCTTTTTTCTCTCCGTGCCTCTGAGCAGTCCTGCGGCACGTGGCTGCACCGCTGTGGGGGCGGGGCGCTCCAGTGCTCCCTGAGCACCCAGTGGGGAGAGGCGGGATTTGCCAGGGTGAGCCAAGTCTGATGTGTTTCGTTCCCAGGATCGCTCAAGGCCCACAGAAAGCACTAGTAAATATGTGCTAGACTAATGACTGGTTTATATGGAAGTGTCTGCCTATAGTGGGAGCTGAGTCTGGCTCTATTAGCTTATTAGCTAGAAGGCTTCTTGAAGCCAGGTTACCATCATACCACGTTTGCCAGCCCAGCACACAGTAGGCCCTCAGCAATAGATTTTGACTGAATAAAGAATAGCTTTGTAGCTTCCCAGCAAGCAGTTCAGGACTTTGGACATTTTAAACCTTTGAGAACTATGTAATTCATCCAAGTAGTATGATTATAGTCTAGGAAGGGAGATGAAACCTGGGTCATTAGCCATGAATAGATAAGAGATCAGTCCTAGATCGGTCATCTGTGTCTGCCACAGTTATAAAATATATACTAGAAACAGCTCTGTGCATCTCCCTGACGCTGGCTCCTGTTCTAATTCGAAACGGGGATGTTAAGACAGTCTTGAGATCTGGATGGATGTTATCAGCTCAGCTGCCGGATTTGCCATCTGTGTACAAAGACCAGTTGGGCACTCTTTAGGCAGTAAGACTGTAAGCCAGGACAGCTCACCCACAGCCAGCCCTCGCCTCTACCCTGTGCTCTGCCAGACGTGGAGACCAGACTTGGTATCTTCAGTTCAGAGGCCCCAGAGACAGCCACTTTGGGGCATTATTTAATATGGGATATAATTATATTATTTATTGCGGTGGAATGGTTTAAGCCAGTTAAGAGTATACAAAAGAAAAGAAGACTGGCTTGGGAAAATGATGACACTTTTCTTTAATTAATATTTGTCCATATTCTTTACAATTCTTTTTTTTTTTTAAGCTTTCCATTTTTTCTTTTTCTTTTTTTTTCTTGTTTTTTTTTTTAGTTTATTTATTTATTTTGAGGGAGAGAAAGAGAGAGAGAGAATCCCAAGCAGGCTTTGTGCTGTTAGCACAGAGCCTGATGTGGGGCTTGAACTCCCAAACTGAGAGCATGGCCTGAGCCGAAACCAAGAGTTGGACATTTAACCCACTGAGCCATCCAGATGCCCCTTTTCTTTTTAAATTTTCATTTAAATCCGTATCGGTATTGGTTTCAGTATTACTATTGGTTTCAGGAGTAGAATTCAGTGATTCATCACTCACAACACCCAGTGCTCACCACAAGTGCCCTCCTTGATGTCCATCACCCATCTAGCCCATCCCCCAGCCACCTCCCTCGGTTTGTTCTCGAGCACCCTTGGTTTATTCCCCATTGTTAGGAGTCTCTTATGGTTTGTTTCCATTAGGGACTCTTTTGCAAGTCTGGCGCGGTGATGAGGGTGGCTCAGGGTAGGCAGCCCAGACAGACTAAGTGCTTAGTAAGTGTCAGTTGATCGCTTCTCGGCCTTTTGGCTAAGATCAAGTGTAGTAAGTGTCAGTTGAATTAAACTAAATATTTGTAGAATCTCCTGCTAAGGAATGCTACACCTTCACAAGTTGTCATTGAAACCCGCCTGTCCCACCCACCACATGGGACAGAAGTCAAGAGTTCCCTGTAAATTGCCAGCTCAAGGAGACAGGGCAAACATTCGTCTGTTCTTGCACTCTTGGGTCTGCTTGTTGGAACGATGACCACCCACCCAGCAGTCAGGCTCACTGAAAACCTGGTCTGTGCTAGTCCACACTCTAGCCTCTGGCGTCCATAAGGGAGGACGCAGGTCACATGTCGTTCCTGTTGCCCATCATCCTTCTGTCCACGTCTTGTCACTTGAGAAAGCCCATTGAAATCCAAGTGAGAGGGTCATTGGTAGAAAATCTGAGTTCTTCAAGTAAGTTGTGAGCGTTACAACTTGAACTGTAGGATGTACCATAAGGCCTTTGTCAGATGGCGTTCACACTCTGGTCTTAGCATTGCACTGAAGGAAATAGAACATCCGCATGTGATGCGGGAATATGATGGTGGCTTCTCTTAGAAACTTAGCACCAGGGTAAGTTTCTGCCCTGATCTCCCAAAACGCAAGGAGAACAGCCTGCTCTTTCTCTAGAGTATTTCGAGTTTTAATATTCAGTGAGACTTCTCGAAATTATCTGTGTCCTTTACCTCCCCCTGGCAAGCCCAGACTGCTCTTTTCTTAGCACAGGCAGGGCTCGCGGTGCCCCCAGTGGCCCCCGCAGGAAGCAGTGTGCTGAGCAGTCTGCACAAAGGCGCTCGGGGTCGTCCCAGGGAACTGACACCTCGTTGATTTGCAAGGCACTCCAAAAAATGGAAGGGAATTAACGTCAACCACTAAGATTCTTTTCTTTCAGGGGGAACAGGAAAAATGAGTTCACTGGAATCAGGGACTCTTTCCTTGATCCTCCGTCAGTGTCCGTCACACCCCACAGGGAGGCAGGGAATCGCAGCTTGGTGGCACTTAGCAGGGTCATGATTTAATGATACGAGAGTGCCCGTATTCCTCCAGATTCCTCAGACTTTCATAATCAGGGCCAAGGAGAGGAGTATGGGAAATGCTTGTGTGTGTACGTCCCCATACTGAGTAATAAATTATTTGCCTTTTCAAAATCTTCTGTGTTCTTTTGTTTCTACTGATTCTGGTTTCTTTTTTTTTTTTCTGGAAAGCTATTTATCATAATATCTGTGATCTTTTTTCTTGTTTCAAATGAAAACCGTTGGAATTGACTCGTGATTAGCTGCAGTTTCTGGCTTTATAATTTGTTTTACTCTAGGCAGCCCTTTAGTTAAGTTTAATACAGAACAGGATGACAGTCTTCTAAGTTCTTTTTTGTCAGAATCTGACCCTCTGGAGCAAGAGAGGGAGAGGATTATGGGATTTAGCCCAGAAGGCTTAGAGCCAGGAGATGCCCACATCCTAAGCCCATTCATTATAAGGGTAAACCCATCAAAACAGTAAATTAGAAGTTTCCCAACCATTGTCAAAAACAGACAGGAGAAGTTTCATGAAACGGTTTGAAGGCAAATGTCAAGCAGCCTCCTGTGTTTTTCCCAAAGTCTCAGCCCTTCCTGACGCAGCTGGGTGATTCTGGGAACATGATGTTGTTTTCTTGTTGTCTTTGAGGAAATCTTAGTGGTGGAGTTAATTCAGACTCTGAATCTTCTAGCTCCAACACCCCAAGAAAGGCCGTGTTTGCCGGGAGCATGCAGTTGCTGGCCGGAGTTAAGCTGTGCACAGGAAGGACCTTAACCAACCACCCGCACTATGAAGACAACAGCCTGAGAGAGCGGACCAAAGCGGTGAGGGCTCATGGCTTCTGGTGGGCCAACAGTGGCTTGCTGTCGTGTGTATGTTGTCAGGGGCAGTCGGACCTGAAGGCCACAGGCCTTTGTCTCCTGAGTCTGCCCTGCCCCCCACATCCATTAAAGGCAACATATATATTCCTCTGGATTAAAATAACAAGAGAAACGGCTTGAGATGTACAGAAAAGAGCATTTAAGAACAAAACCCTCAGAGCTTTTGAATTAGGGAAAGAAAAGGAGTAGAGACACGCTAGTAACTTATTTTATGGACCATTGTATGTGTGTGTGTGTGTGTGTGTGTATTAGTTGGTAATATAGCTACATAGTTCAAATTTCAAAATAAAGGAGAACTTAGTGAAAAGTCTACATCTCACCCTCTCCCAGCTACTGTCTCCCCTCACAGGAGACAAATGCTTCGTTGTGTATCTTTCCACAGGCATTTTGTGCATATACAAATGTACACACACTGTATTCACATTCTTTCCCCCTCTTTTACAAAAGAACATACTAAATCTTGGTTTCTTTGGCATTTCATATACTTCGCAGCTCGTTCCATATCAGTTATTTTTTTTAACTAGTCACTTCCTTTTTTTTTAATTTTATATTTTAGAGAGTGAGCGTGAGTGGGAGAGAGGGGCAGAGGGAGAGACAGAATCTTAAGTGCAGAACCCAGCACAGAGCTTGATCTCACGACCACGAGATCATAACCTGAGCCGAAATTGAGAGTTGGATGCTCAACTGACTGAGCCACCAGGCGCCCCCCCCCCATATCTGTTATTGACAGCATTGTATTTTTGAATCATATTTTATTTAACCATTTAGGTTGTTTCCCTGTCTTTTGTAATGATGTAAACAATGTTCCAAATGGTAAACTTGTATGTGTATCACTGTGCACAAATACAAGTGTTTGTCTGTACATCAGATTCTTAGAGATGAACTTGTGGGACAGAAAGTACGGGCATTTGTAATTGAGCTAGACAGATAGTCCTAAATTGCCCTCTGTACAGATTATACCACATACATTCCAGTCAGCAGTGCAGAGAGGTACCCCTTTCCCCCAGTCCTCTCCAGCAGTGGGCTCAAACTTTTTAATGTTTTATGTCAGTCACTTCATAATCTTAGCGGCTGAAAAGTTGCTGAAAAGTCTTGTTTTGGCAGGAGATTTAACTAGCCTAAAAGCAAATGATTTTTTACTAAGTCCCCTGTTTTTTATGAGAATCATCTGAACCTAGATTCCTACTAAAATGGGGATTTTTCAGTTGGTGCAAGTACCTGAGATCGCCCCAGGTTAGCTGGAGGAAGCAGGGAGGGCACCGGCTCCACAGAACTGGAGTCCAGGCGGGAGGTGGCTGGTGCGGCTCAGACTTGGCAGAAGGTGCAGAAGGGACACGTCAGGCACACGGGGGCTCCTCCTCGCACCACCCTGTCCAATATCCAGCCCTTGTCTAGGGACTGAGTTTTGTGCTCTAACCAAACACATCCTTAAGGTCCTGGTGCCCTTCTTCAGTCATGACCTTCAAATCCTGGGAATGGCTTTGGTGTGAGGCCGCTGCTAAACTACAGCGAGGATGGCCTCTGGCTTCAAGTCACAGAAGGAGACCACCTCCTGGCATTACAACTATCAGTACAGGCACACTGGCCCTCAGGGCCCAGTCTCTTTGGTCAGAAAGGCATCATGAGACATCAGTGTGCAGGGAAGGAGTTGGCACCCCTGTCCATCCCCCCGCCCACGTGCACACACATGCACACACACACACACTCTGCAGTCACTTAAGGTATGTGACGCTGGTGATGAACAGGGAGGAGGCGCCTCCCACTGAACTGCCACTGGTGCTGCAGGTTGTTCGTGCTCCAGGAAGCGTGAGAGCGAAGCACGGGGTCTCCTGGTCAAGCCAGGGGCAGCCTAGCACCGAGGACCCTATGGCGGTGCTTTTCTCCATTGTCAGAAGCTGAGGATCCTTACAAGTAGAGGTGCCCGCAAGCTGTACCATCATGCCTGATGGACCTTTTCTTGCAAAGAACCCCTTTTTAAACGTAGAGATTGTGTCTTCTTTACTCCACTGTTTATTTACCTCAGGGAAGCATCCTTAGAACGGGCATCTACGGATACATAGCTCCCAACAATACATTCTAAATCCGTATCTATTTGGTGTCTAAAGCCCAATGTATTCAGCATGACTCACTCTCTTCTTCCCCAAAGCTGAGTGATTGTGACTTGCATTCTTTTGGAAATTTCCCCCACACACCCCAGGACTGCAGATGAGTGAGTGGCCTGCACGGGAAGGGGTCGGGGAGCTGGGTGTCGGATCTTAGCCATAACCCCTGTGGGACGTTACCTTATTAGATACTCGTCCACTAACTTCCTGGCAGTTGAGTGGTATTTTTCGCTATTCCACTTTCATCTCGTTTTGCAGGTTTATCAGATCTACGCAAAGAGGTCTCCAGAGGACGTGCACGCCCTCCTGAGGTCCTTCGGCGCTGACTATGTCATCCTGGAAGACAGCATCTGCTACGAGCGAAGACACCAGCGGGGCTGCCGGCTGCGGGACCTGCTGGACATCGCCAATGGGCACGTAAGCACGCCCCCTCGCCCCGTGCGGGGCTCCTGGAGTGTTGGGGGGGGGGTCCAGTCTCACTCTCTGTACGTTAGAGAATGATGTTGGGAATCAGTTCACCATCTTCACAGCATCCCACAGAATTCCTGGCTCTGGCACATCAGTGACAGCCGTGCGGGCCGGGCAAGGGGACAGATAGGGGGGTTCAGACCCCAACTTCACATTAAATAGAACAACTCTGTCTTTAGCTGATTTGTATCATGAGGCTATGTATAAAACTCATTTTTAAAGGTTTTGCCGTTAAAAGCAGAACCTCAGCCTCTTAACACCACTGCCCCAGAGCATTGTTTTGGCTGGCACGTGAGTATGACCGTGACAGCAGGGCCCCCATCTCCCCTTCCAGGCACCACTCCCGCCAGCGTCCCCTTTGCCCACTGGCACCATGCCACCAAGATGGCTTTCTGCAGCCAAGTCTTCCAGAGCAGAAGAACAAGCTATTGCTCCCTCCAGCCTTCTGAGAAAAATGTTCTCGGACCTATGCCAGGCCTCAGATTAGCACAAGCAGAAGCTTTTCACCCTGTAGAGGTGCTGTAATTATTTGGTATAAAAGCTGATAGATATTTAAGAAACAAGTGGGGGGAGAAAAACTTGACTGTGCAGATTTTGAGATTCAGGACACTTAAGTCTCCTCTCAGCAAATCTCAAGTCTGTGGTATTATTGACTGTTCTCCCCATGCTGTACAGTCGGGCCTCAGAACTCATTCACCTTGTAACTGCAGGTTTGTTCCTTTAAGGAACATGGATTTTTTTTTTTTTTTAAACGTTTATTTATTTTTGAGACAGAGAGAGACAGAGCATGAACGGGGGAGGGTCAGAGAGAGAGGGAGACACAGAATCTGAAACAGGCTCCAGGCTCTAAGCTGTCAGCACAGAGCCCAACGCGGGGCTCGAACTCATGACCCATGAGATCATGACCTGAGCCAAAGTCGGACGCTTAACCGACTGAGCCACCCAGGCGCCCCGGAACATGGATGTTTTAATTAACTTGATGGTGGTGATCATTTGACCATGTCCATGTGTATCAGATCATCATAAATATATACAGTTTTGTCTGTCAGCTATGCCTCGGTAAAGCTTGGTGGGGGGTGGCGGGGACAAACATGAGCTTCAGTTTTTGCTGGAGGAAAGTAACTGTCCCTAACCATCTTGAATTCACAGGAGGTAAAGACCAAAGACGCGCATTTAAATCTTGATTTGTGTGTAACTTTTTCTAACGAGGCCACCTACTGAGTTGGAGGATTTCCCCTGGTCATAGTCATTCTTCTCAGTATTTTATTCTTGTGAGAGCCACAGCGTGTTACATTCCTAAGAACAAGGGGACCCAAGTTCTGCTTCTGGCTTGTGCCATTAGAGGGGATGATCGAGTGGCAGAACTCCCCTCTCCAGCTGTGGTTTACACCTCTGCAGGGGAAAGAGGTGGGCCAGATCGTCTTTAAGCAGCCACTGACATTGAAATTGGACGATTTACGCTCACCTAACGTACCAGTCTCAGAGGAGCCCGTCACCTGTTCCTTCTTCTCTTGTAAATGTAATTATTTTTTTCCCAAATTGTATTCGGTTTTGTTTTGGCTTTAGATGATGGATGGCCCAGGAGAGAACGATCCTGATTTGAAACTCGCAGGCCACCCTCGCTTCTGCGAAGAGATAAAGAGAAACCTGCCGCCCTACACGGCATACTTCACCAGAGTGTTCCAGAACAAAACGTTCCATGTTTACAAGCTCTCTAGAAACAAGTAGCCGAGCTCTTCGGTCAATCTCTATTTTTGATACGTGAAACTCCATCCTAATGAAACTCAACAGGTAACATTTCATCTGTCGTTAGGTAGCCTGTACCACAAAGCTGTGATATAAGTAAGTTGTAGGGATGTTTACACAAGCGTTACCGTCCTGGGAAGTATCTCACACAAGCTTCAGTCTTTTTTATCTTGTTTCATTAATGTTCTGTAGCCTAAACATTCTCCACTTTCTAAGAGTGGTCTGGAAGTTTTGCTGGTGGGGGAGAACAGGAAGTGTTCCACGGGAGCCTGGACAGACACCCCTCTTGTTGGAAATCAAGAGGCTCTTCAGGATTTGACTGAGCTGATTGACTTCAGACAGCTATGGTTGAATTGAATCAAGGGGATGCATAACGCAATTCTTTAATGTTGTTTCCCTAGCAAAGAACACCTGGTGGTTTTTTAAAAGCCCTTGATCGCCCTGTTTCACCTAAAAACTTTTATAATGTTTTCCGACTGTCATGCTTTTAATATTTTTTTTTTAATCACGTTAGGTCTTTGTATATATACCTAAAACCTTGTGTTGTGCCGTGTCTGAAATGTAATGTTTCGCACTTCAGCGTATGCATCCTGTCTGTGTGTGTCTGTCTGTGTCTGTATGCGCATGTGGGTGCATGTTTTAATGCCGGATACAGAAAAGTGTGGCAAATTCCTTATTGTAAGTCCTTAAAGGAGCAAAAATGTTATGTAGCCAAGCAGAATTTGTTACTGTTTAGTGTTATTTTAAAACCTATTGATACTACTTAACCTATCCTGCAAGTAAGAAAATTTTTCTTCATTTCTTACTCATTTAAATTTACTGGGTTTGCAAAATTTTGTAAACTTTTTGTTTTTAGCCTTTGTATTTTTTACAGCCTAGAACCTTGCAAAGTCTGAATATTTTTAAAAGGTTATATCTTAACTAATTCACTAATACAATATTTTTGGCAGAGAGCATTTTCATACCAAATTTGATTTGTGGTCTCCAATCTTGCTGTGAGGGCCCAGGTAGTGTGATTCTTTTTCTTACTCAAAGGTAACCAAGTGCCTCTAAGTCATGCTTATTTGTAAACAACAAAGAGATTATGTATACCTGTTCAAAAATTTTTTGATAATTGTTTTATAATTAATTTCTAATGATGGGGACATGTAAAAGTTGCTGATAAAAGCATATTGCGTGTTTAATTAAATCAAGATGGCTAATGAAATTAACGTTCTCCCCTGTACTTGCCAGTTGGAAATGATTTAAAGGTTTCTCCTTGCAGTTGTATTGAAGTAAATTACCCTCGGCATCAAGATAGATCTATCGCATGTTTAAATGATGTTCTATTCAGTTACTATTATTAAACAGTATTCAAAAAGAAATTTTACACTGTCATGTTGGACTCAAGGATACTCAGCTTTTTTAATCAAAACTTATTTAAATTAAAAAAATGACACTGGCTGGGTTACTAAATTATGCAGCTGAAACTCCTGAATTATGTCTTTCCTGTATCCCTTAATAAGGTTGGAGACCACTGCAGTTTAGGATAATACAATAATAAAACACTTTAATCAGTACTAAAACTTTAATTAAGCCAGTAATGATGCATGCCCGGTGTGGCTGACAGCATGGGTCAGTACATCCTTCAGCGAGTGCCTTACTCTTAATTGAAACGAAGCACATGTAAGGTACATGTTAGACTATGTAGTTTTGTTTTTAAAGTCCTCTGTTACCTTCCAGATATGTTTCAGTTTTATTTTAAATGTTTCTATATGCGTTCATCTAAGCATTTGGGTATGTGCAGTTTCAGTATAAGAAACATGTACTTCAATTTTTATGCTTCTCCTCACCGCCGTGATGGCACACAGTAATCTTTTTCTCACAGTCTACGTGCCATTTTTGCCAAAACATAGCGTTCAGTCTTCTGTGAAAAAAACAAAGTGCCAAAAAAAAAAAAAAAAAGGTCTTGCAAGACAGAATCCATACATATGCTCTTTCCAAGACACTGTGACCTTGTAGAGTTGACATTTTTATGTCCTGATGACCAAATTTGCCAACAAATCATGTTAAATCTTCTTAGTGCTCATCAGTTGTCTCTTTTATGACCTTCTCGTTGGAGTCCACGGGAGGAAAGAGGAAAAGTGACTGACTCCTGGCTCTCCACCAGGCCAAAGTACGTCACCTGGGGCCGTCCTCGCTCCCCGCCATGCAGATCTCAGTGGCTCTGTTAATATTTGGTAATAGCCTCATACTGTGGCTGGTTTTCATGGGTAGAATAACCACTTGATCTTGCTTCGGAGTTAGCATTCGAAAGAACGTCTACGTACAATAAGTGCTCTTAATCATCCTCTACTTAACGTGACTCACCGGACTCCCCGACAGACTCCATCCCTCCTGTAAGCTGACTGCCCAGGCTGCTGCCCAGTGTCCGCCCACGGCATGTGCTCCGTCCCGTGAGCTCTGTGCCCGTACGCAGCTTCTCTGCAAGTTCTACTTCCTACTGTGAGTACACAGTTCAACACAAACCTAGGAGATACGGGTGTGGAAAAGAAAGGGTTATTTCTGTGCAATTTAACTTGAATGCTTTGGTAAGATTTGATAAAGGTTGAGTTGCTAGTCAAAATTGCTTTTAAATACATTAGGCGTGGTTGAAAAAATTATAAAATATTGGGAAAACGTAAAATTCAGGGACATTTCTAAGCTTAGATTGCTTTATCGATTTAGGTACTTATTCCACCTTTAAAAATATCTAGACTGATCAGAAGGTGTTAAGATGTACCCAAATCATATTATTGGTGTGATTTATTCAAGAATAGAACTGCAGTCATTGAACCCCTATTGCAAAGGAAAGGCCTTGGCTTCCCAGCAGAAGGTTATTAAATGAGTGGACAGTTACACATTTAAAATGATGATTCCCTGCATAAATCTACTTACTTCGTTAAATGACTGATCCTGATCACAGTGGCTGAGATTCTACTATAGTTGAAAGGTTACAGTCACTTTTATTACAGACTTAAAAAATAGGGATTAATTTCAGATATATTAGCCAGAAGCATAATTAGGTGTTTATCTAGGCCATTTGTTGTCCACTTAAAGATGATTTTCTTGAACTTTGTGAGGTCAACCAGATGTGCGTGTGTGCGTGTGTGTGTGTGTGTGTGTGTGTTTGGGGCAGGTGCCGCCAGATGGCAAAGACATGCGTAATATTTCATCCAGTCTGCATCTTTACTTCATGATTAACTAAAAATGTTTATTCTGATTCCATATGAACTTAGTTTAAGATGTACCAGTTTTAGCTCATCTTTGGCCAAAGCCTCCCTGAGTTAACATAGAAATATTCCATTTTTTAAAATTTCATTCAAACCTTGGGATTGTTAGGAAGATATTAAAATGTTCTCAGATCACGTATGTTGGTTAGTATTCTCCCAAAGGCTTTATATATGACAACCTTTTGGCCTAGAAGAGAGTGCTTATCTGCTGATGGAAAAAAGCTTTTAAGATGAGAGTGGCTTGCTGTGTTGTGGCAATTGATTTTCTGTATTTAACATCCTAAGGGTAAAATCTTACAAAGAGCCTTTATAATTTGTTGTACTGAGTTGTACGGAGATTATATACTAAATAAAGCTCTTTTAAAATACACAAGATGAGTGTTTTTCCTTTCTTCGAAGGTCAGAAACCAAGGAACCAGCTTATTGAAGTGTATTAAGTATATGCTAAATGGAGTCTAGTCACTGGAGGGATGTGGCAAGGTCTCGACTGGACTTGCTAATGTGGAAGGAGTTTATTTTTTCATGGAATTTGGTTTCATAGCTGCTTACTTGTTTTACTTGAACCTCAGGGTTATAGTTTAGATTTCTAAAGAGAAGGCTGCTGTCAGCAGAATTTATCCTCAAAGAGATAAATGCTGTTTTCATTTTTGAATCACGTGTACTTCTTGATTAAATTGTCAATCTTTAGTAATTCGGGAAGATTGGTGGTAGTCCATTTTGGTCAGAGTTTATAGATAACAAATGTGCTTGACTGTTACATTGTCCAGAGCAGATACTGAAATTCCAAACAGAAATAGGCCAGTACACTTCCTAATAGAAGAAACTGTCAGTGGGGCCTCAAATACGCTGAGCTCTTAGAAAGCTCTTAAGCTCTTAAGCTATTGAGTACACCCCGTGGGAATGGCCTCTAGCACCGGAAGCGCTACAAACGGGTATAGATAAGTGAGAGACTCCGGATCCGAGTGAACGGAACAAGTGTGATGTTCTGGCACGTGACACCAGGCACGCAGCAGTCGAAATGCTGTTTCTCGTGCCTCCCTTTCTTTTTTTTTTTTTTTTTAATTTTTTTTTTTTAACGTTTATTTATTTTTGAGACAGAGAGAGACAGAGCATGAACGGGGGAGGGTCACAGAGAGAGGGAGACACAGAATCCGAAACAGGCTCCAGGCTCCGAGCTGTCAGCACAGAACCCGATGCGGGGCTCGAACCCACGGACTGTGAGATCATGACCTGAGCTGAAGTTGGATGCTTAACCGACTGAGCCACCCAGGCGCCCCTCGTGCCTCCCTTTCAAGAGCGGTATCTGAAACTCATCTCAAACCTTTTCATCTGATTTAATACTTAGCCATTTGCTTTATAGGATTGTCTTTCAAAGTGCAGATAGTAAACTACAGTGTAATGTGGAATCAGCTTAGTGGGTTGCAACCAGCATCAGAAGATTGAGAAAGAAAAGCAAGGGAGAGGAGAAGGGGAAGGCACAGTCCCTGTGGGAAGTGTAAGGATTGCTTTGTGAAGTAGTTTGGTTTTTGAATTTTCTTAATGTTTATATATTTTTGAGAAAGAGACAAAGTGCAAGCGGGGGAGGAGCAGAGAGAGAGGGAGACACAGACTACAAAGCAGGCTCCAGGCTCTGAGCTGTCAGCACAGAGCCCAATCTGGGGCTTGAACCCATGAACCGCGAGGTCATGACCCGAGCTGAAGTCGGACGCTTAACCGACTGAGCCACCCAGGAGCCCCAGTAGTTGTTTGTTATACGTGAAAGCATTATTGTACTGAGGTGCCATATAAAATGTATTTCTTACTGATTGAAAGCCACACCCTTACAGCACAGAGTAATCTGAGAGGATTGCATCTTGAATTTGGCTCTGTCCTTGTCCCCCCAACTCTAGTAAAACCCTTTGAACAGTGATGATATTGAAGAATTATTATATATTTTTAGGTGTGAAATGGACATTGTTATTTTCTTAAAGTCCTTATCTTTTAGAATATATACAGCCATACCTTGGAGATACTCTGGGTTGGGGTCCAGACCACCACAATAAAGTGAACATTGCAATAAAGCAAGTCAAATAAATTTTTTGGTTTCCTACTGCATATAAATGTTAAGTTTACATCATACTGTAGTCTACTAAATGTGCAACAGTATTATGTCTAAGAAAGCAGTGCGATCTGAACTTTCATCAAGTCCTAATCATTGATCACAGATCATCATAAAAAATACAATGAAAAGTTTTAAATATTGCAAGAATTATCAACGTGACACAGAGACACAAAGTGAGCTAATGCTGTTGGAAAAATGGTGCCAATAGAATTGCCCAAAGCAGGGTTGCTACAAACCTTCAATTTGTTAAAAAAAAAAAAAGTATCTGCAAAGTACAATAAAGCAAGCTCAATAAAACGAGGTGGGCCTATACTCAAATATTCACAGATTGAAAAGACTAATAAACACCGGATAAATCTGATTAAGAAAGATAAAAAATATATGATTTAAGAATGTGAAAGGATGGGGCGCCTGGGTGGCACAGTCGGCTAAGCGTCCAACTTCAGCCAGGTCATGATCTCGCGGTCCATGAGTTCAAGCCCCGCGTCGGGCTCTGGGCTGATGGCTGGGAGCCTGGAGCCTGTTTCCGATTCTGTGTCCCCCTCTCTCTCTGCCCCTCCCCCGTTCATGCTCTGTCTCTTTCTGTCCCAAAAATAAATAAACGTTGGAAAAAAAATAATAATTTAAAAAAAAAAAATAAGGGGCGCCTGGGTGGCGCAGTCGGCTAAGCGTCCAACTTCAGCCAGGTCATGATCTCGCGGTCCATGAGTTCCAGCCCCGCGTCGGGCTCTGGGCTGATGGCTCAGAGCCTGGAGCCTGTTTCTGATTCTGTGTCTCCCTCTCTCTGCCCCTCCCCCGGTCATGCTCCGTCTCTCTCTGTCCCAAAAAAGTAAATAAACGTTAAAAAAAAAAAAAAAAAGAATGTGAAAGGAGGGGCACCTGGGTGGCTCAGTTAAGTGACTCTTGGGTTCCAGCTCAGGTCATGATCTCAAGGTTCATACGGTCCATGAGATCGAACCCCACATCAGGCCCTGTGCTGACAGCACAGAGCCTGCTTGAGATTCTCTCCCTCCCTCTCTCTCTGCCCCTCCCCAGCTCTTGCTCTCTCAAAAGTAAATACACATTAAAAAAAAAAAAAATGTGTAAGAAGATACAATCCCAGAATCAGAATTGTAAAAGAATTATATGAAATAATGTCTGCAATTCCGTGGCAAAAAATGAATCGGTAGCAGAATTACCTGAATTACGGTGGTGGCAGGAGGCCAGGAGCTCCTGGAGGCCACTCTTCTTCATTCAGTTTACACATGGCTGGTTTCCTCTGAGGCCTTTCACTTGAGTAAATCACACCCCCCAGGATAATCCCCACTTTTATTAACTCAAAATCAACGGACTTGTGACCTGAATTACATCATCAGCAAACTCCCTTCATTTTTGCCATACAGTGTAACATAATCATGAGAATGACATCCATCATATTCACAGGACCCACTCCTCTTCAGGGGGAGGAGATTATATAGAGCATGTTACCGGGGGGGGGGGGGGGATATTGGGGGCCATCTTAGGATGCTACCTACCAGAAAGTTAAAAAGAAAACTAGGGTCTAGCCAAAACTGAGCATTTGATAGCACCTAACCCAGGACTACAAACTTCCAGAGAAGGGAGGCACACAGGAGAGTGCCAATCTCACCCTGGCTTTCTTCCTTGGAGTCTTTCAAGCCATGGCACAAGGAAATGGAGCTCAAGCAGAGAGTGGCAAATGGATTGGAGTTCACAGCTAAGATGGCTGGGATTTGGTGGGATTTGGTAGGAGTTGGAGGAGCAAGGCACCAGGGAGGAGGGAGTTGCAGGAAAAAAAAAAAAATCTGAGAAGTTCCCTTTAGGTCCTCTGGTAATTCCTAACCTTCACATGTGTGGCTTAGCAGAGAAGCTGAACAGAGGTTTCAGAGGTTCCACGGTGCTGAGGAAACATTAGAATTGTGGTCCAACCAGTGTGGAGAGATTATGGTGAACCTCTCTAGCCAGTGAACTGACACACCAGAAAGGCTATACCTTACCCTAGGAATAGAAGCTGCTATCCTGCCTGTCAAAAGCAAATGTAATGTAACTTCAAGTTATCTCTATGTTTCCAAATATATAATATATAGCACTCAATCAAAAACAACAAGGAATATGTGCTTTGCAGATACTGTCTGATTTCGGCTCAGGTCATGATCTCATGGTTTATGAATTCGAGCCCCACATCAGGCTCCCTGTTGTAAGCACAGAGACTGCTCCGGTCATCTGTCCCCCTTTCTCTCTGCCCCTCCCCCACTAGCACTCTCTTTCCCAAAAATAAACATTAAAAAACATTATAAAAAAAAACAGGAATAAAAAAACAAGACAAACAGAATTGAAATAGAAACAGCCACAGTCTAATCAAATATTGGAGATTAAAGCACAGACTGTAAAATAACTACGCTTACTATATTTAAGAAATTAAATGACAAGAGAATTGAGGTGAACTGAAAACCATGAAAAAACAAAATGGAAATACTAAAACTGAAAAGCGTAATAAATTGGGGCATCTGGGTGGCTCAGTCAGTGAAGCATCGGACTTTGGCTCAGGTCATGAGCTGGTTCATGAGTTCAAGCCCCACATGGGACCCTGCACTGACAGAGCTGAGCCTGCTTGGGATTCTCTCTCTCTCCCTCTCTCTCTCTCTCTCTGCCCCTCCCACACTTGCATGTGCACTCTCTCTCAAACTTTGAAAAAAGTAATGTTAATCAGTAATAGCAAATTAGATGCAGCTGAAGAGAGAATTGATCAACTGGACAATAGGTTAGAAGAAAATATGCAGACCAAAGCCTGGGAGGAAAAGATGAAAATGGAAAGAGCATGAGTTGTATTAGAGCATGTCACTTTATCCTGGAAGTGTAACCGAAGTCCCACAAGGGAAGGAAAGAGAATGGATCTATATGACTTTGGGCAAGCTACTTATACTCAGCTCCAGTTTCTTTTTTTTTGCAAATGCAAGTGCAATAATAATCTACAGATGGGGTTCAATGAGTGGATTGAATGAGCTAACACTTAAAACACTAGGCCCAATACTTTGCCCGTGGGAAGTACAGTAGTGGGAGCCACAGGATATCATCATTGTCCTCCTTATCATCAAAATTAGAACGTCAAGGAAAACTGTCTGAAGAGCAAACTTATATGAGTCATACAGATACTAAAGGGCCCTTAGTAATTTTATGTGAACTGTTCTTGCTGTAGAAAAGATATTAAAAAATAAATAAAACCCTTTACAGGCTTAGAAGATTAACAAGAACAGTTTGTCAGGAAACCAACTTCT